CTCAGACATCAATGTCAAGGGTCCCCTTGCTCCCTCATTCATAGCAGGTTAGCCTTAGCTGATCTCCTGGGGCATTCCCTCTGTGAGGAAGAAAGCCAGCGGCCTTGCCCTTAGGGCCAGGAGTACTCACGCCTACTTGACTAGGCTCAGCTCACAGGCTGTGTGACTAGGCTCAGCTCACAGGCCTGCGTGACTAGGCTCAGCTCACAGGCTGCGTGACTAGGCTCAGCTCACAGGCTGCGTGACTAGGCTCAGCTCACAGGCTGTGTGACTAGGCTCAGCTCACAGGCTGTGTGACTAGGCTCAGCTCACAGGCTGTGTGACTAGGCTCAGCTCACAGGCTGTGTGACTAGGCTCAGCTCACAGGCTGTGTGACTAGGCTCAGCTCACAGGTCAGGGTGCCAGGGTATAAAGTCAGTTTCTGCCAGTTTGCTCACATTAATGGAAAATACCAAAATCATTGATAGGGAAACAGGTATCTTAGACTGGTGATGACAGTGTCACAACATAACAAACCTTATGGGGCGCAGCAAAAGCGGTTCTGAGAGGGGATTTTAGGGTAGAAATACCTACTTTAGGTAAAAGGCAGCTGGAGCCTGGTGGTGTTGCATGTCTTCGTTCCCAGCGGCCATCACAGGCTCCTTGCAGCCACTCACCCCCTGTCCCCGGCGGGTCTTGTCATCACAAGCCTCTTGAACAGACCAAGCACAGGGCTGTGCTTGATTAACAGAATCTTTCCAGTGTCTCCCTGATGAGTTGAGAGTGCACTGGACATGCAGAGAGGAGCACAGGACGTGTTCGCCTCTCGGTGTTTGAAGGGCTCTTGTGTGACTGGCAGGCAGCCATGTGCTGCGCTACCCGCGGGTGAGCAGTCTGCTCTCAGAGCTGACTGTGTGGCGTGGATGGCAGGGGTGTAGTCGTGGCCGGTGTGAGGCCAAAACGCCCGCCACAGAGAAGCATGAGGGTGGCCTTGTAGGGTCCACAGAGGGAGGCATGGCAAGGCTGATGAGGGGTAGGCTGACAGTACGCCCTCTGTCCCTGCAGTCTGCCCTTCCCAGGGTCACTGCTGAGGAATGGATGCTGCCTGTCCATCTCTGCCTCTGCCCTTGGCAGGTCTTCCCTCCTGGCACTTGGTGCTTTGCTCTGACACTTACTCAGGAGGAGGAAGCCAGACTTGCAGTGCTGCGACCCTTCTGTTCCACAGCATTCACATTCACACACCTCCCTTTCTGAAGCCCTCCGGCCTTGTGCGTGTGGTGGGTTTGGGACGTCTCCAGTGGGGTTAGATCTTGTGCGTGTGGTGGATTTGGGGCGTCTCCAGTGGGGTTAGATCTTGTGTGTGTGGTGGGTTTGGGGCATCTCCAGTGGGGTTAGAACTTGGCTGACCCCTCCCAAGGCCAGCCTGTGAGTCATCGATGGCCTGCCCAGCTCGCCTAGGGGTGGGTTTCTATTGGCTGGAGAACTCTTTCAGGACCCTAGAGGAGGGACACTTTCCCTGCACCAGGGGACTCCCCAGCCTCCAGTAGCATGCCTTCCCCTTCCCATATTTGTAGCTGCCATCTTTATAGCCATTTATAATCACATGACTGTGAGAATCAAGTGACAACAAGCTTTGTGCCCTTGGAATGAAGCTTTTCTTTTTTTTTTTTGGGTCCGGTCGTGGGGCCTGAACTCTGGGCCTGGGCGCTGTCCCTCAGCTCTTCAGCTCAAGACTAGCGCTCTACCACTTGAGCCACAGCGCCACTTCCAGCTTTTTTTCTTTTTGCTTATGTGGTGCTGAGGAATTGAACCCAGGGCCTCAGGCATGCAAGGCAAGCGCTTTACCGCTGAGCCATCTTCCCAGCCCGGAATGAAGCTTTTCTTAAAACCTTACCCTGTAAGAACATGAAGTTTACTTACTTTCTCTCTTTCTTTTTCTCTCTCTCTCTCTTTCTTTCTTTCTCTTTCTCTCTTTCTTTCTCTCTTTCTCTCTTTCTTTCTTTCCGTCTCTCCCTCCCTCCCTCCCACCTTCCCTCCCTTACCCTGTAAGAACATGAAGCTTACTTTCTTTCTTTCTTTCTCTTTCTCCCTCCCTCCCTCCCTCCCTTCCTTTCCTTCTTCCTTCTTTTCCTTCTTCATTCCTTTCCTTCTTTCCTGCTTTCTTCCTTCCCTTCCTTCCTTCCTTCCTTCCTTCCTTCCTTCCTTCCTTCCTTCCTTCCTTCCTTCCTTCCTTCCTTCCTTCCTTCCTTCTTTCCTTCCTTCCTTCTTCTCTCTCTCTTTCTTTCTTTCTTTCTTTCCGTCTCTCCCTCCCTCCTTCCTTCCCTCCCTTACCCTGTAAGAACATGAAGCTTACTTTCTTTCTCTTTCTTTCTCTCTGTTTCTTTCTCTTTCTCCCACTCTCCCTCCCTCCCTCCCTCCCTCCCTCCCTTCCTTTCCTTCTTCCTTCTTTTCCTTCTTCCTTCCCTTCCTTTCCTGCTTTCTTCCTTCCCTTCCTTCCTTCCTTCCTTCCTTCCTTCCTTCCTTCCTTCCTTCCTTCCTTCCTCTCTCTCTCTCTCTCTCTCTCTCTCTCTCTCTCTCTCTTTCTTTCTTTCTTTCTTCCTTTCTTCCTTTCTTTCTTTCGAACTCTGGGCCTGGGAGCTGTCCTTCAGCTCAAGGCGAGCGCTGTACCACTTGAGCCACAGCACCACTTCCAGTTTTCTGAGTGGTCTATTAGAGATAAGAGTCTCATGAACTTTTCCTGCTGGAAAAGTCCGATCTCAGTCTCCTGAGTAGCTAGGATTACAGGCGTGAGCTGCTGGTGCCCGGTGGAAGCTTATTTTCTAAAGCAAAACAGTTCTGCCTTCTGTGTCTTCCAGATGTTGAAAGTAACTTCTGCCACCATTGGGACTCATTTTGTCTTTTCTTTCATAGTCTAGTGAGGAAGGAGCCTTGTCTCCAGGAAGTGCTTCCCTAGCCCCTCCCTGGCAGGTGAGAAGGCCAGGCAGGATAGCGCACCATCAGAAGTGCCGCCTCCCTCCCGGCCCACAGTCCTCCGGGAAGATGCCCTTGCAGGGTTGGGTCTACTAGAGGAAAGTCTGGTCACACGTGTTTCACTGTGAGGCGTCCTGTGCTGTCGGAGGGGTGGAGGGGAGTGTGGACTTCACTGTCTGGTCTTTCCAGTCTTGGAATTAATATTCATTCATATGCACACACATATTTTGCTAAGCCAAAAAACCAGTAAAAAATGTATTGATGTAGAAACGAGTTTTCAGGGGCTTCCTAGCCATGAGATGAGCATGTCAGTGTTCCGGAGCAGCGTGGGCCAAGCATGCTGGGACGCAGCATTTCAGACAGATGGGGATGGGCCAGGACAGACTTACTTCATAGACCGCCATGAACACCAGGGTGTGTGTGTGTGTGTGTGTGTGTGTGTGTGTGCGCGCACGCGCGTGTGCAACAGACTCACTGAAAATGCCCCAGAAAGCACCAGAATAGCGTGTGCATGTATGGCTGACTGCATGCAGATGGGTGGACAGCACTGGGCCTGTGTATACTGTGACTCAGTACCGGCGCTCTGGGCAGCGGGGCACTGCTGGCACTCTGTGAGCTGCACTGAGCAGCTGAGGGCCCGTTCTGTAATGAGCCAGTGCCATTACGTGCCTGTGCATCCGACTGTCTCCCTAACAGCACTGTCTGTGTCGACCTTGGCAGACGTATCACTTGGCTCACCAGTCCAACATTGCTCAGGAGTGTCCAGGATTGAAATTGCTGCAATCCTGGGGACTGGAAGCAGGGACTATCTCTGTTCAGGTGAAACCTGCACTTCCGGTGTAGGTCTTGGGTGGCTGGTAGGATGTCTGCAGACTTGTGGATGATGAACCTGGGGTTGTTGGTCTGTTTGGCATCATGCCGCAATTTCCTTGTGGAGTCCTTTTTCTGATGCCACTTTCTGACTTTAGGATGAACTTCCTGTAACTGTACTGCTCATTTCAGTCTCATGGTCTCTGCTTTGCCTCACGAGGGTGGCTTGGGGTCTGCTTTTACCCTGCTCTAGGTTTAATGTACACTTATCTCTATCAGTTTGACCTGTCAGTTTTTATTAACAGTGACTGAATATGACTTAGCTACCTGAAAACTTTAAAAGAATTTGTTTTTTAATGAAAAGCTGACAAATTATAGTTATATATGGTTGTTGCTGTGTGTGGCCAAAAATTCAGAATCCTTTTATAGCTTTTAGCACAGAGATCACAATTCTTGGCCTTTGCTGTGCTCTCAGGTATAGATTCTGTTCATGTGCACAGTTGAGCTGCAGACAATGGAAGCTGGCCCTGCATGGCTCAGGCTACAACCATGACTTCCTGTCTCAGGTGACAGCCTTGCGCCCCGCAGGGTGGGCTGCGGTGCTGGCCGGCTCAGCACTCAGCTCTTAGCTCTGCCCTCCCGTCCCCTCCACTCTGCCTTTGTTCTACTAAAGAGATGGCATTCTGTCCCAAATCAGCTCTGGTCTGTTCCTCCTGTCAGCTCTCCATCCACCCTGTGGATCCATGGCTGTCCCTTCCTTAGCCACAGATCACAGTCCTGGAATGCCATGAAGAAGCTGCACACATCCACTTTCCACGTTTCCCAGGGCTGAAAGCCACTGTCAGAGTACTGCTGGCAAAGTTCTCGGTGAAGTTCTCTTGCTGCTTTGCAAATGGCTGCTGCCTTCTTTGCTCTCACACTGCAGAGGCAGACAGAGGATATGCACTCTCTCCTAACGGGGACTAACCCTACCCTCGTGAGCTCATCTAACTCTGGTTGCCTCTCAGAGGCTCCGTCTCCAAATACTGGAGTCAGGGCTTTGAGATGTCCATTGCGGTGAGACACCCACACATCCCCCAAATAAGACCAGACAGCAGTATTCATAAAGACTTCCAGTGACTTCTGGCCAGGAAAGCATTTTCTAGAGTACGAAGAATGTGTATAAAAGCTCTGAGCTGCAGGTGTGGGGGTTTGGAATCTCCTGCGTCCATGTTAATACTCAGCCCTTCTCCTCCTCTCAGCGTCACATGGGAGCCGATGGGAGATGGGAAGAGAGTCATCTCACTGGCAGACAACCGCATCCTGCTGTGGGACCTGCAGGAGAGCTCAAGCCAGGCTGTGGTGAGTGGCATCACCAGGGTTTGTCAGACCACGGGGTGATTGGGGTGGAAGTGGGGGCTAGGTGACAGTTGCAAGGCCCGCCCCCTTCACTGCCTTGTCCCAAGGGAGGCCGCCGTCCTTTTCCCCTTTTCCGGAGTGTCGTCTTTGTCATGCAGGGTTTCCTGAGTACTGTTGGCTAAAGTTACATTCTTCAGTAGTAGCACTTAAAGAATATGTATTTGCGTGAGTTACAAAAATAACTGTTAGCACTTTCTTGGGACACAGTCTTGCTTTCAAATATAAGTTTTTATGAATACTTTGTCTCATATAGGATTTTCCCTAACTTTTTTCTTTAGAATGCATTTTTACATGCATCCATAATTTCCTGGCACTTACTTTGTCAAAGCAACAACTTTAGGAAAACAAAAACTCAAGAACTGTGACCTGGCAGTTCTTCTAATGTCGCATGTACCGAGGGCCCACATTTGTCTCTTCTGCCACTGGGAATTGAGAACCCTATCTTTGGGTAGTTTTGTTAGAAACAGCCCTCTCTCATGTTTATTTGTTCCTCTGACTTTTACTTAGCTCTTTTCCTTCGTGGTGCTTACTGTAGTAATAATAAACCCTTCCCTTACTCCCCTGGTCAAAGAGATGGCAGGATCATGATTTAGCTTTACTAATATGTGGCATAGAAGTCAGACTTTTAAAATATTAAGTAACTTGTTAAAGTTTAAAAAATGAATGGTACGGGGCACTGGTGGCTCACATTTGTAATCCTAGGTACTCAGGAGGCTGAGATCTGAGGATTGTGGTTCAAAGCCAGCCCTGGCAGGAAAGTCCATGAAACTCTTAACTTTGCTAAACTACTCAGAAAAGTCAGAAGTAGTGCTGTGGCTCAAGTGGTAGTGTGCTAACCTTGAGCACAGAGAGGCTCAGAGATAGCCTCAGGCCCTGAGTTCAAGCCCCAGGACTGGCAAAAAAAAGCCCTGAATGGTCACAGCCTTTAATGTGAAATTAAGAGTTGACTTTTCCTACAGCATTAAAAGTATTTAAGGAAATTATTTTATTAAAAACATGTTGAAACGAGACATACCTCTATGTTGTGCATCGAATCCATGTTTCACAGAAATGTTTAAAGTGAAGCCCATGGCCAGAGGGAATGCTGCTTGAGATCGGCTGGGCTGGCCTGTGGGCCTGGCTGTGTCCACTTGGGGCAGAGTGTCTGTCTGTCCAGTCACCCCTCAGCAGCTGGGGTTTTAGTGTGGCAAGCTTGGGGCGGGGGGTGGGGGAGAGTCCTCTCCTACTGCATGGTAGACTCACAGAAGGTGGGAGCAACTCTTAGGGGGGAAGGCCGCTCTGGGTCTACAGACCCAAGCACTCAAGGTGCCCCAAGCTGGGAGCTAGCCTGGGAGTGCAGGCTCCTGAGGCGCCATGCACTAGATCGGGAAGATTTCACTATCCAACCTGAGCTGGCCTGCTCTGCGGCTAGCAGCCAACACAGCTTCACACCCAAGTCATCGCTGAAGGGTTTTGAGGTCGGGTGATTAATCTGTAACTTATTTTCTACAGAGATCAATTTGGTATTCTCTGCCCCTTTTTTGTCTGCTGTCAGCAGTTCTGTCAATACCCCTTTGTGACCTGGGCCGTGGCGTTTAATACAGAAACCTTCCATCGATTCCAGCCTCCTCACACCAGCTCCTCCGCTTTTATTGTTTGAGGATATTGCATTGTGTGGTGAATCTAATCTTATGCTCACTGCATCATTACCTTTTGCAATTAAATTGGCGATTCTTTGCCATTTATAATCATTAGCAGAACCCTGGGGAGCCCTGGGGTGGGAGGGTCCGGGGGTCCACGGGCCCTGATGGAGGTGGGGTGCCTCCCCGTTTCACAACATGCTCATTCATCTTCACGTGCACCGGCTTTCACCGGCTGTGGACATTAATGGCTTCTGCCAAGGTGGCAGCAAAAGGTCTTCTCTGTCCACACACGCGTGCAGTGCCCCGGGAGAGCCAGCGTGTGCTGTGTTGGGAAAGAGCTTCACACACGACAGTACTTGTGATAGGATTCAGGGCTTACAAGGACACAGTGGTGTTGCAGGTTATCTCACAGGAAGTTTATGTGCAGCCCACTCCCCGTACCGGGTATGTTCCATGTGGGAGCCAGTCCCTGGACCATGTATGAGCCACTCCCTGTACCATGTATGTTCCGTGTGTGAGCCAGTCCCTGGACCATGTATGAGCCACTCCCTGTACCATGTATGTTCCGTGTGTGAGCCAGTCCCTGGACTATGTATGAGCCACTCCCTGTACCATGTATGTTCCGTGTGTGAGCCAGTCCCTGGACCATGTATGAGCCACTCCCTGTACTGTGTATGTTCCATGTGGGAGCCACTCCCTGTACCCTGTATGTACCTGCTCTGGAGCATGGATGACCTTTTAGAAATATTTCTTCCTGCTTTCACTTGTTTTCTATCTTTTACTACAGGCTGTCTCAGAGGAGAAGATTTTGTTTTATAAATAGGCTTTAGAAGCTGGTACTAGTGGCCGCGGTTCGACCTATAATCCTAACTACTCAGGAGGCCCAAGATGTAAGGATGTGGTATGAAGCCAGTCCAGGCAGAAAAGTCCATGAGACTCTTAACCGCCAAAAAGAGAAGAAGAAAAAAGTAAAGTGTTAGCCTTGAGCCAAAAAAGTCTCAGGGACAGTTCCCACGCCCTGAGTTCCAACCCTCCCCCCCCACCCCCACAGCTTTAGAAGTAGAGGTATAGCTCAAGTGGTAGAATATTAGCCTTGAGTGAAAAAAACAAGGGAGGATGTGAGGCCCTGAGTTCAAATCCCAGTTCTAGCATACACAAAAGGAAGGAAAGGGAAGGGAGGGAGGGAGGGAGGGAGGGAGGGAGGAAGGGAGGAAGGAAGGAAGGAAGGATGATTATAGGTAAGGGGGTTCTATATTTTAGCTGGGTACCTGTGACTCACACCTATAATCTTAGCTATTTAGGAGGCTGAGATCTGAGGCTCATGGTTTGAAGCCATTCTAGGCAAGGAAATCTATGAGACTCTTATCTCCAATCAACCCAAAAAGTAGGAAACAGAGTTGTGGGACACCAGAACCAACACGTCTGGGCGCCGATGTGTTGAGATCACCCAGGTTGTGGAGACCAGAGCGGGTGTGTGGGACGGCTTGCGGCTGTGGGCCCCAGGCTTCCACGCTGCCCCACTGCCCCGCTGCCCCGCTCCCCCGCTCCCCCCGCTGCCCCGTTCCCCGCTCCCCTGCTCCCTGCTCCCCCGCTGCCCTGCTCCCTGCTGCCCCGCTCCCCTGCTCCCTGCTGCCCCGCTCCCTGCTCCCTGCTGCCCCGCTCCCTGCTCCCCCGCTCCCTGCTCCCCGCTGCCCTACTCCCCGCTCCCTGCTGCCCCGCTCCCTGCTCCCCCGCTCCCTGCTCCCCGCTGCCCTACTCCCCGCTCCCTGCTGCCCTGCTCCCCCGCTCCCCGCTGCCCTGCTCCCCGCTGCCCCCGCTGCCCCGCTCCCCGCTGCCCTGCTCCCCGCTGCCCCGCTCCCCCGCTCCCTGCTGCCCCGCTCCGCTGCCCCGCTCCCCCCGCTCCCTGCTCCCCGCTGCCCTACTCCCCGCTCCCTGCTGCCCCGCTCCCCCGCTCCCCCGCTCCCCCGCTCCCTGCTCCCCCGCTCCCCGCTGCCCCGCTCCCCGCTCCCCCCGCTGCCCCGCTCCCCGCTGCCCCGCTCCCCGCTGCCCCGCTCCCCGCTGCCCCGCTCCCCGCTGCCCCGCTCCCCGCTGCCCCGCTCCCCGCTGCCCCCGCTCCCCCGCTCCCCCGCTCCCCCGCTCCCCCGCTCCCCCGCTGCCCTACTCCCCGCTCCCTGCTGCCCCGCTCCCCCGCTCCCTGCTCCCCCGCTCCCTGCTCCCCCGCTCCCCGCTGCCCCGCTCCCCGCTCCCCCGCTGCCCCGCTCCCCGCTGCCCCGCTCCCCGCTGCCCCGCTCCCCGCTGCCCCGCTCCCCGCTGCCCCGCTCCCCCGCTGCCCCGCTGCCCGCTCCCCCGCTGCCCCGCTCCCCCGCTCCCCCGCTCCCCCGCTCCCCCGCTCCCCCGCTCCCCCCGCTCCCTGCTCCCTGCTGCCCCGCTCCCCCGCTCCCTGCTCCCCCGCTCCCTGCTCCCCCGCTCCCTGCTCCCCCGCTCCCCCGCTCCCTGCTCCCCCGCTCCCCCGCTGCCCCGCTCCCCCGCTCCCCCGCTCCCCCGCTCCCCCGCTCCCCGCTGCCCCGCTCCCCCGCTCCCCCGCTCCCCGCTGCCCCGCTCCCCGCTGCCCCGCTCCCCCGCTCCCCGCTGCCCCGCTCCCCGCTGCCCCGCTCCCCGCTGCCCCGCTCCCCGCTGCCCCGCTCCCCGCTCCCCCGCTCCCCGCTGCCCCGCTCCCCGCTGCCCCGCTCCCCGCTGCCCCGCTGCCCCGCTCCCCCCGCTCCCCCGCTGCCCCGCTCCCCGCTCCCCCGCTGCCCCGCTCCCCGCTGCCCCGCTCCCCCGCTCCCCCGCTCCCCCGCTCCCCCCGCTGCCCCGCTCCCCCGCTCCCCCGCTCCCCGCTCCCCCGCTGCCCCGCTGCCCCGCTCCCCCGCTGCCCCGCTCCCCGCTGCCCCGCTCCCCGCTGCCCCGCTCCCCGCTGCCCCGCTGCCCCGCTCCCCCGCTCCCCGCTCCCCCGCTGCCCCGCTGCCCGCTCCCTGCTCCCCCGCTCCCCCGCTGCCCCCGCTCCCCCGCTCCCCCGCTCCCCGCTCCCCGCTCCCCCGCTGCCCCGCTGCCCCGCTCCCCGCTCCCTGCTCCCCCGCTCCCCGCTGCCCTGCTCCCCGCTCCCCCGCTCCCCGCTGCCCTGCTCCCCGCTCCCCGCTGCCCCGCTGCCCGCTCCCCCGCTGCCCCGCTCCCCCGCTGCCCCGCTCCCCGCTCCCTGCTCCCCCGCTCCCCGCTGCCCTGCTCCCCGCTGCCCCGCTCCCCCGCTCCCCGCTGCCCGCTCCCCCCGCTCCCCGCTGCCCCGCT